GCTCCTCCGGCGGGAGAAGCCCCTTCCCCTCCGGGTGCCCCCACAGCCCCGCTAAGGGCACGCTGCCTGGGAATTCGTGGGGCCGGTTCCCCAGGTGCCCCAGCGGTGGAACTGCCATTTCTTTTGTCTCTTGTGAAGATGGAAAGGGGGAAAAAAAATAGCCCCCTGGCTTTTGTCCTAAATTCAGACCAGCTGCTTACTCGTATTGTCCCTCTGCCTCGGTTTTTACAGTTTTTCCCCCCACAAAGCACACTCCTGGGCCCCCAGCTTCCAATTCTCATATGTCAGTGACATGAATATCTCTGTTTCCTCTGGACCAGACCACAAATTCTGCTGTCTTTCATCTGAGAAGTGAAACCCTGAAAAGCTGACTTTACTAGAGGGAGTTTATAGCCGGAGTCTCCTCTGGTCCCGCGGCAGGACGGCAGAGCTGCCCTGCTCCGCTCGCACATCAAGGGGCTTTGAAGGCTCAAAGTGCTTAACTGGAAGGGACACAAAGATCACCAAGCTTATTTTGCATGCAATTAAGCTGTTGGTTTGCTCTCCCTCCTCCTGACAGACAAGTGCTACATCAGGGAAGGTATGAGAGGCTCCAGCCATTGACAGGTTGGGTGCAGCCCCCCCTCTCCCCTATTCTCTTTTTTTTTTGTTACTGAAACCATCCATCTGCCAAATGTCACTAGCTGATAAGAACAGCCCATTTTTAAATCCCCATTTGTAAATAGATGTTGGCTGACATAATTAATGTCTACCATACAACATAATTTGAATTACAAAGTAAAGGCAATTTAAAAATCAGCCTCCACATGATTACAATTGATACTCAAGTCTATAAATTCCATAGCCTGAGGAATTATTTAAATTTCGGAAAATGAATGAAAATCAGTACAAGATGTCTTTCAGAAAAGCGAGACCAGAAGTGGAGCATCTGAGATAAACTAAATAGTCTCTTGAGATAAACATTCTTTGGTGCAGTAATACCTACGGCTCCGGGCCACCGCGGGTCTGTAATGTCTGCTGTACGGGCAGGGCTCTTATCTGCTGTGCCACTGCCACCTACTCAGAATAAATCCCCTTCACTGATAAGCACATTATGTTGAGGACCCCTGCTTGTCACTTCCAACTAACTGGGTGGTTTCTATGAACACCACGGCACCAAGGTGCTCTGCTCCAAGACACTGACACCGCTCGCCGGCTGGGGTCGAGCCTTCGGTGCGTAAGCGCAGGAAGGTCGATGGAAGAAGCACCAAATGTCTAAGGCCAAATAGGGGCTGTGGCACTTGGGAATGTTTATCCTAGATCCAGTTTTTCTGATAAATAGAAATATCAAGTTTAAATGGACAACAAATATTTCTAACAAGTAAGATGCAGCATTAGCCTGGGGAGAAAGACCAGCAACATAAGAGTAATTTAAAGCCTTGTGCCGCTCGCACGCCAGAATAAACAGCTCTGTAACTTCCTAAACCGCCCGTACGCAGGCTCAGCAGCAGCGTGGCACAGCCAGGAGCTCTCCTGCACGGGGAGCCCACGCAGAACAGGACACTTCGCCTCTTTTTCCTGTCTTTATGCTTTAACTGAACTTCGTTATTTTCCTGCCAGTCCTTCCTCTGTAAAATCAGGAGAAATAATTTGAGGGCGTGTAGATTTACAAGAAAAACAAATCTCTTCGGAAATAAATAGTACCACAAAGGAGCAATGAAATCTGCTTTCAAGGAAGCAAACGTGTTACTGCAAATCACAGATTGGCAGTTAAATTCTGCATAAATACACCAGATACGTGGTAGTGATATCCACGTGATAAATTACATTTACCACGCACCTTTGACCATCTCACCTGCACTCGGCTCCCCCAGCGAGGAAATGTTAACATTCCCGATCTTTCATCAGTTTCAAACAGCTGCCATTAAAATAAAAACACACAAACCCCCCCACAAACCCACAACAAAGAATTCCATGTCTTCCCAGAGATAACCTTATCTTTCGCTTTTGAAATGTGAGGTTCTCCCTCAATTATGTTGGCACAAAATCCAGGGTCGGGGGCAGGATGTTCAATCAGGCTTAAGAGTATATAAAAAAAGTTACCTATCGGGGCAGAAATGGAAGCAAGCATCACTGAGAATCACCGTAAGATCTGCAAAAGATGTGCAGCATAAGAAATAAAAGCAGTAATTTGCATCACTGGAAACAGAAGGGTCCCAGGTTTTTATCTGCAACTATGCAATATTTGTTTCTTGTGCAAGAAATAGTCAAGATAATAACCTTTGAATTTAAGTTATAAATAAAACAAAGACAAATTGAAACAAGGCTGCTCCAAGCTGAGACACTTTGTTACTATCTCCGGAATCAGAAACTAGGAATCACCTCCAACTCTCTCAAACGACCAAGAGCATCTCGCAGCACTAGCGATGCACCACGCCGGGGATGGGACCGAACTCCTGCCGTTGCAGCAGCGCGGGGACACGGCTGTCAGGGGGCACGGCACGGTACGGTGTAACGCCTGGTTACCCCCCTCCACTGGGAATGAAAGCTCCACA